TCATTTGGCAAGGAAGCATTTCCCGACTCTCCGTTCCCAGTGGGAACTAAAGATTCCCAGGGGCAGCCCACATTTCCCACAATCCCCTGCACTGCTTTGCACTCGCACCAGCCTTCTTCAGTAATTCTGAGGTGCTGCTAACTATTATAAAGCAATAAGCCCCAAGAAGCCGTGGTTTACAGTGAATTTATAACAGCTAAGGGGGTTTTAACAACTCCCCTTAGCTGTTATAAATTCACTGTAAACCACGGCTTCTTGGGACTTATTGCTTTATAATAGCTAGCAGCACCTCAGAATTACTGAAGAAGGCTGGTGCGAGTGCAAAGCAGTGCAGGGGATTGTGGGAAATGTGGGCTGCCCCTGGGAATCTTTAGTTCCCACTGGGAACGGAGAGTCGGGAAATGCTTCCTTGCCAAATAAAACAGCTGAACAAAAGATCTGGAGAAGGAGAGCACAGATTGGACAATTGGACAGTGTAGGGAAGAAGAGAAAAAAACACACGCACACTTCCACATGCTATTGTTCTTGCAGTGTGAAAATAAATTTGGGTTTAAGATCATTGAGAGGGTTATTTGTCAAAACTAAGCGTGGAGAACTGGATCTGAAGGCCTGAATTTACACTGTACTTGTGCATATGACACTAATATACGTTGAAAACATGACACGCTAACCTTAATTTAGCCCTATTCTCTGTGTTTTGGTCTGGTTTGTCTCTGTAATCACATCTCACGCTCACATTCACACACCCTGTTCTAAGCTTCCTCGGCCCTGTAATTAAAATCCTGCCCTCTCCAAAAATACATCCTGACCCTACGACCAGCGCCACAGAGGGAGTGTGTGTTTCACGATTATCTGGAGAGAGCAACCTCTGTCTGAAATGAAAATATGGAAAGCTGAATTCCTTGTTAGAGGGCAAAGTAATTCCCCTGCCGCAATGCAAGGATGCAGTCATGGAAATAGGGATTTTCACAGTTCATCCATGTGTAAAATCCCATTTGGGAAGAGTTGGGATATGAGCCCTTCAGCTCCAGTAATGTGTGAGTACAGGCTTTTTAATTATGCTGAGGCATGGCTAGCACCCCTACATCTGTAAATGCTGCTTTCCTGCAAACCATGTTTCTATTCCCGAAAAAAAAAAAAAAAAAAAAAAAAAGAGTCTTTGTTCACTTTGGGAAACATCATGACTGTTTACGTGTTCCCTGTCCCTGCCTCACTAAAATCCATGGACGACATATACAGTGTGTTTGAACGCATATGCTAGCTGGACAATAGATGCGTGCATGTTGCTTAGGATGCATCTATAGTCTGACTGTGACTCTTAACAGAGTGTAAACACAAAGGAGGTGTCATAATCGGCAAGATCATCTCCACTATAGGTTGTCTGCTTTGGTTTTGGTCTCACAAAACCTGTCAAGTACATGTCTGGGTTATATTTCACAGCAAGATCAAAAGAAGCGAATACGAAATCTATATATTTGCTGTATTTTTAGGACCATTGCTTTTATTAATTTCATTACAGTTTTCATTACCATAATGCAATACTCATTCTCATTACTTTAACATGAAAAAGTATTTATGGTCATGGATTTTTGCTGATTTCAGTTTACATTTACACATTTGAGAATATTGGCAATTATTTAAATATATTTAGAAGGATTAAATAAATCAGTGAGAAGTCCATTCACATTTTGGTAAATAAGGATGGGGCAAGGGCTGGGGGGGATGTGCTAAATTATAATGAAAATAATGATTCTATACGTAAAGCAATTTTTTTTTGATTGAATTGAAATGTTTTTTCATCTGTTTTTGTTTGTATTGAGTCCATTCACATTTTGGTAAATAAGGATGGGGCAAGGGCTGGGGGGGGGATGTGCTAAATTATAATGAAAATAATGATTCTATACGTAAAGCAATTTTTTTTTTGATTGAATTGAAATGTTTTTTCATCTGTTTTTGTTTGTATTTTTTCTATTCTGTGAATGTGCCCGAAGGCTGTCAATCAGTGTCTAATGGAACAGTGTATGTGATTGGTCATTATTTATTCTGTGCTAACTGTGATTGGTGGTTCTCTCTCTCAGACCTGTCAAAGAACCGGCTCTGTGAGGTGCCAGAGGAAGTGTGTCAGTTTGTCTCTCTGGAGACACTCAGCCTGTACCATAACTGTGTGCGATCCCTCACACCCAGCCTGTGCCAGCTGCAAGCCCTCACCTACCTCAACCTCAGGTACACACACACCCCTCCCCAGATACACGCTCAGTCTCAGATGTGCAGAG